GTTTTGCAATAGCCCCTGGTGCATGTTTGACTAGCACATGTGACTCTACACTGTTAGCAGCACAACTAGCTGCTGTACTAGACTTGGCTGTTGAACAATACCATTCACAGTAAAATCAATAGGCACATTATGGCCCTCCATTAGCACATGGTGCGAGTGTGTGCAAGCAGGTCTACCCACATGCATGTAATCCCCCCGAAATGGAAATGGTGATTATGCATTACTGACAAGAGTCATTGGTTACGCTAGGCAAGACAAGCGTGTGTCTGTGTGAGCGTGTGTGCACTTGGCATTCATTAAGTCAAAAACAAAACATGGCGCAGCAGCTGAGTGTGTGTGACTGTGTGTGTGTGTGTGAGAGTGAGTACACAGAGCCAAGAGAGGGTTTGGGAAAGAAAGGAGCTGAGTGCAAAGGGACCCACAAATAAATCAAGAAGAAGAAATGAAGTTTGTTTAAGGGCCACTTCGCTCTTGATCTGTGCCTTTTGCAGAGTTTTAATTCACTCCACGTTTGAAGCACTACAGGCTGAGTCAAAGCAGGGAACTCTCTGAATCAGACAATTAGAGTAGAGCAGCATGTCTCCTGGTGCCACACTGCGTAGTCATTCCACCAGCTTTATGTAATCGTCAGATGGAGAGGTATATACAGGATGACAAGGTGATTACACATGTTAATAATATTTGGACGACAAAACCACACGGCTGGTTTGTTTATACAAAGTCACCGCAAAAAAAGACTGAGACTAAAAGGGAACAGTTTCTATGGGCCTACTCTACACTGAATCACATTTAGCATTTGGTCGTGTCATACTTAAGTGCAATGTGTGAGAAGAACACTATATTTAGAGTAGATTTAGCTGGGGATATTCTTATGCATTATAAAGCATTTAAGAGCAGTCAATGTGGCAGCTCTAGATGAAACATGGCCATACAGACAGGATAAGACATGCCAAGTAATAATCAGAAGAGATTGCATGACTTATAAATAATAAAGGCTAAAGTCATCAAAAACTGGTATTTGGGTAAAAAAAAAAAAAGGATCAAGTATGAATGCTACTTTTAAAAACTTGACTACTAGTACACCTTGTATAGGCCATATATTAAAAGGTTTAGTTATAATTGCCTAGTTACCTCCTCAAAAATACCTGGAGTTGTGCTTTGTTTCATTCATTTCATATCTCCAAAGCTCAAAATGCTCTGTTCCACCTTGTGATGTCATGAAGTGATAATTTTTAAGTTAACAGCCACCTATTATCTTTAGTTCAAAAGAGATGGGCAATTCCATCCATAGATCCATTTTCTTCCGTTTATCTGAGGCCAGGCTGCGGAGGCAGCAGATGGGCAATTCCAGGTCTAAAATTATCCAAATAATTCTAGTAAAGGTGTATAGAGTTTAAAAACACAGCGGAGCACTTCCTGTATTACCACATGACATCACAAGGTGGAACCGAGTATTTTCTGATTGAGAGAAGGACTCAGCCTAAATAGGATTTGTGTGTTAAACAAGTGCGAAAGAATAAAATCACAAAAACATGGATCAGAAAGCACTTCACAAAATGTAAATGTAAAATGTAAAACGTAGTGATAGAATTCAATTATACTAAAGTCTTAAAACTTGTCAATAGCATTAAAAATGACCAAACTGCAGAAAACCCCGTCTGTTTTCTCTCCCTGAAAAAGAGTGGAGTCTGTTCTGTGGATGTGGGTCAGTAAACCATGGCAGCAGAGATGAGAGCGCTTTGTGTTGAGAGCTTTGGCAAAAAGCAGTTCAGAGAGAGAGAGGAAATATGGTCACCTCAGTGGGATAGGCCTACAATGAGCTGGCATGTTGGTGTGGTTATGATGCCAGTCTAGAGCATGGGAAGGCAAACACAGAGCTGATCTCAAAGACTTCTAACAGGGCAGAGCTTTAAGCCAAAAAATCATTTGCACCTGTCCTTCTGTCTTGGACTTTTCCTCTTTATATTTGCCATCATCTGAATGTTTTTGGGCTCTAAAATTCCCACTTCCTGATGCCAGCGATGTGGACTCTCCCCTTTTTTGAAATGCCAGATAAAAATCCATTGGCGTAGTCTCAATTGGTCTAGTTTTGGGAGTAGTGATAGCTCTTGATGCCAGGGCAGAAAGAGTCAACCTTCATAGACAAGATTTTTAAAGAGGGCAAAAGCCAGTGCCAAGGCCTGCGCTGGCAAAGCCTTGTATTTCATTAGCATTAGATCAAGTCTCTCTTCAGTCCATCCTGCTGCTGTGTACCATGAGTGCGGAGATAGGAATGCTCTTTAGATCAACTACACTCAACTACAGGCCACAGCTACAGGATACAAGGAGTTCTTCAAATACATAGAATGCTTCTTTTCTATGAGTAAACAGCTCTAAGATACACAGTGAAATACAGACTAGATCTTGCTAAAGCAGTTCTTACACACTTAAGTCCAAATTCCTCCAATTTACTGGAGTTGTATAGTTCATTGGTTTTCCACTACCTTTTTCCACATCTTATCTTGTACTTTAACGGTCTGTATTAGACTATTTGTGATCTACGTTACATTTGTTTCCTCAAACATACAGAGTTGCATATTTAGGCTTAGTTCTTTACTCAAACTGAAATTACTCTGTTCCTCCTTACAGTTTCATTAAGTGGTAATACAGGAAGTGCTCTACTGTGTTTTTAAACTCCATAAAGCTTCATTAGCATAATTTTAGATCATTTTAGCACTTGATTTGCTTAACTTTGAAGTTACAGATATTGTTTTAGCCTCACGGAAACTGTTTCACTCCTGGTGCGCCAGAAACTTTTTACTGACTTTATTGAACTGTACTTAAAAAACAAAAGCAACAACTTAAAGACTATTTTAGAGTATTGAAGAATAAAGATGTTCAATTTAAGCCAAAAATAGAGCATTTTGAGCTTTGACGGTGCACAGAGCCTAATAATGCACGATGGTGAATGAAAAAAAAAACAACAACTCTGGGGAGGTAACAGCATTATAACACCGCTGAAAGCTCACAGGAGTCAGTTTTGAGTAAGGTAGGACGTTTAATAAAAGTAGTAGAGAAGTGGTAGTGGTCTTGCCGAGATTGGGGAGGTTACAGTATCAGATGACAGTTAGCGGGACAGAGGCAGGTGCCTGACACGGCGCTGAATGGAGCTGATCATTATGGAGGGACATCTGCTGCTGTCCGCCCCTCCCCACACCTCCCAATTTTAGGCCCCGCCCCCTGGCTCTTTACACTGCTGCTTTGATGCCCTGTCACTGTGCACGAGAGAGAGACAAAAACACAGGCGGCCATGCATGCACCCACGCTCACACACCTGCCACGTAGCTTCACGATGATAGGAGACTAAACATATAGGCATTGCACTGTAGCGATCCAAAGAAACAAGTCATTTTCATTTCTGCGTCTTCCAAATGGTGAAAAATTATACTTTCCAGCTTGCGATTTCAGACGTGTTTTCATACTGAATGCATTAGAGGTATTAGGATTTCCAAAGATGCTTTATTCCAGTTTACAAGAACAGTTGTCGACAAAAGAGCAGTGTTTTCTGTCTTAAGTGAGAAATCTCTGTTCAATAAATCCCCCTTTCACTGTGAATAAATATATTATGAAAAACAGCCTGCCTCAAATTAGCTAGCGCAAAACAGCTCTTCTGCAATAATAATTTTGCTCATTGAATGATTAAATTGAAAATACAAGGCAACATTACTTAAAATGGATAATTAGAAACATCCAAAACAGCGTTGGAGTTAAGAGATGAGACGGGAATCCAGTTAAATCCTTAAATAATGCAACTTGTATTTACAGTAATCACTTCAGAGGCATTAGAGTAGGTTGTAGACAGCTGCCTTGCACATCCAAATGTTTTTGTTTAGTTGTGACAATCAGCTGTGAAAACTGTGAAGCAGGAGAACTCACCCAGACCAGATAGTTACTACAAAATGCAGTAATTTGTTCCGTTTACCTAAAGAGTCCATATTACGCTATTTTATTATCTATGTTATAATATTGTTTCCGCATCAAAAACATGCCAGGAGTTGTATTTTGTTTCCTTCAAACATGTTTAACACACAAATCCTGAATATTTAGACTAAGAAACAGACTCAAACAGAAAACACTACCTTGTGATCTCGTGCAATTATACAGGAAGTGCTCCACTGTGTTTCTAAACTCCATACACCTTCACTAGAACCATTTGGATAATTTCAGTCCTGGGTAATGTGGTGGAAATTTTAGTATTGGGTGTTGTTCTTTCTGATGTGCATTTAAGAAGTGTTAAAAGCCACACTATTCTTTGTCTTATCCATTCTCTCACAGGAAGGCTCTAGATACCTTTGGGTTTTCCCATTTACATGTCTGATAGTTATGTCACATGTTAAGTGTTGATCATCTTCAGTTGTACTCAGATGCTGCTCTGGGCTGGACCGTTTGTTTCCTATGCAAAAGTAATAAACCAACCTAGGCAGTGTTATTGTATGTTTTGGCATTATTTTACAGTTAATTTCCACAACAGTAATTTCAGCCCTCTGCTGAACAAAAGGTACAAGGTAGCTGCTAACATGAAAACCATAAGAATTTTGAGCTTTAGAAATGTAGACTAATAATGAAGGATTATTCAAACATGTGTGAATGAAACAAAACACAACTTCAGGCATGTTTTTGATGAGGAAACAACATCATAACGTGGCTTAAAGTTCACAAGAGTCCATTCTGCATAATATAGGACCTTTAAAATGAATCACAACTCCATTATTATTAGATATGGCGAATACTAAGGTCAGGAATAAGCAATCTGGTTAGAAAAGAACAACACTCTACAATGCTCTAACTAACAAACCTGCTCTTACAATATATATAGCACAGTTTTTCCCATCATGCATTAAATTTACACAAAAGATTTGGATGCCCAGCCTTGCAAATTCACAACTATGCCCATTGGCAACAAAACCGTGACAAAAATGTAAAAAAATAATTTGTAAACTAGCCACAGTGCGAAGTCTCACCTCTTTTTAGCGGGACTGTCCTGATAGGCTCCACTCCCGTCCAACCCTTTTGAACGCAAACAGCCATCTTCTTTGTGGCTGCCCTTAGACACCGAGCCGTTCAGCTGCCCATTGGATAAAGAACCTGAAAGAGACAATTTCAAAGTGTTAAAATTTAGCAGTCTGGAATACTGATAGTCTGCCGCTGTGGTAAAAATACGTGAGAATGCTGTTAATTTAAGGTCAGGAGTGTGCTTTTTAAAAAGAATATTAAGTTTGAACTAAAAGCACACAGAAATAAAGTTTGTGGAAATTACGCACAACCAAAAAGTGAAGTGGTTATATCTGTAGTTGCAGTGTCGACAATTGTGCATGTATTAATAAATGGTCTAATCTTTATCTTCCTAAATTTTGTGCACTATGCAGCTTTTCTGGTGAAAGGCCTTCCACCCGCTTGTCTCCATGGTGAAGAATTGGCTCACTGCATTGGCTGAGATGTTCCACAGTATGGCTTTAAACATATCCAACAATATTGCACAGAGTAGGGTTTAGGGATTTAACAATAACTGAAATATCGTGATATTGTATCGTCAAAAGTCTTACAATTTACGGAATTACAAGTTCCTCTGCTTAAATGCATGGTGTTATAGTAGCAACAGCTTATAAACATAAGGAACTGTTTTTTTACTTGAATTCTTGGGATTTTCATGGAAATAATGCACACCAAAATCTTGTCAAGGTATTTTAAAAGGAGAAACGCGTCCTATCTACAATTATATCAGCTTATATATCGCAATAAACATCATATTGTGAGATGCATATCGTGATAATATCATACAGAGAGATTTGGATATCATTACATCCCTAGTAGGAAAGCATGTTTGTCAATGTAGCATTAAAAACACCTGTAATTAAATGAATAATATCTTCCATTACTGTTGTATAATATCTTTCGTTACTTAATTCAGTGTTAATAAAAAGTACTGTGATAAAAAATTAAGCAATAAAGAGATGATTGTAATTGCACATAACCATTATCACGTCATAGTATTTCAACACAGATAACCTGTTCTCCCATACTATTTATAGATGTGTACCTGATGCCCCCAGTTTAACTTGTTAAACGCAACTGGTGTTCTGAGCAGATAAATGTGATGTAAGCGCGCAGAAAGAAATAGTGCCCTGGGCGAAGAGAAAGTCAACAGATATTACTGGACTTGACGTTCTCAGCGAGCCTAACTGACAGCACCCTAATTAAATATTTAGCAAGCAACTCCTAGACAAACAAAATAAGCCCCCAGACACATCCGTAAATCAAAAGCAACAACGTGCCCCCAGAATTCAAATTAGGTCAAACGCGAGGCATGGAAGTCAATGGTAATTAAGGCAGACAACCAAATTAAATAGATATCACCGAGCCTGTGTTCCTCGCGGCTACTTCTGGCAATTCCAATGACAAGAGTGAATAAGCAAACTTTATTGAATGAGAGGGATTTGAAAGTGTCTAGTTCTTTTTTTGTAAGCAGATAAATGCATACTTAAGGGTGCAAAGATAAGATGTATGTTGGTTACTCAGCAATGCGGAAATCAAAACACTTGGCATGCAGGGTATAAATTATTCCATTTCTCTCAGTCTGACCCCTTTTGAAGAGCATCGCGGCCTGACTAATATCTGGTATGGCAGGTTGTTTAATTATACATGTTCATTCTAAACACATGGGAGCCACTGTGTTTTCAATTGGCACAGAGCTATTTATCCATAATATACTTTTATTACTTATTAGAAAGCCACAAGAAATTAGGCTGACTTTTTTACATCAGATGTCCTTTCTGTTCCAGGGTTTCAAGTTCATCCAGGCTTGGGACCAACATAATCGCGAATGCAATGATCTTGAGATGCACAGATCGGATTTTCTACACCAATACCAGTGTAGATATTTTGACTTTAAGCATCTGTTAATACCAGGTATAAACCAACACTGAAAATAAACTGAAAAAGAGACTGAACATAGAATTTATTTCCTTTAAACACAAACAGCATTTGGTGAAAAACTTTTTGAGATGTTTGGCCTAACACTGGCTTGTATATCATCTTTTTACACCAGTTTATAAACCAAAATTGGATATCGACTGAAGAATCAACATCTTGGAAGCCGATATCCGATCCACCAAAATTTTCAATGCCGGTGATGATATCAGATACCAGTATTGTATCGATGTGTCCCTACGATTCTTTTTGCACTAAAAATATGTATTTAACCACACAATTTGTTAACCGCTATTGCATTTTGTCACATGCCACAGTTGAGTTTATGGGCCAAATTGTGCAAAATAGTCAAATGTTTTTTTCCCACTGAAACCCGATCCAAAGTTAGTATGACAAAAAAAATATTGCAGCATGAAAAAGTACATTGCAAACTGCACTGAAACTCCAATAAATCATGTACTTTTTCTGTATCACTTTCCCACTGACTAATCATTACTGTCTTCTCAGCACGCCCAGCCAAATACCAGAAGACTGATGCTACAGACGGATGTGTCAGTCAGTCGCTCCACCAACGACAATACTAATAGCACCTGTCAGGCCAGAATAAATGAAGATAATAACGAGAGTGGAACTAAGGGTTAGGATAAGTGGAGACTTGAATGATACGCTCTTAGAAAAGAGGCTACTGCCGAACATGTCCGGGCACTGACTCGTGTGAGAAAAGATCAAAACACAGACAGGAGCAACTGATCAAATGACACAGAGGAGACAGGATGGAGGCGATGCAGCCACAGGTACAAGCAGCTAAAAACATGTCATTTAGAAAAGTGTCAAACTGTGCTCTGGAATTTATGGCAGCAATGAATAAAGAAAGGTGGAACAAATGAGCAAGAAGTAAAGGTAGTTAATCCTCTTTCTGTTGACTCACAATCTATGCAACTCAAATCCCAAAGAATCCTTATTATTTACATAAATTTTTTGGTTAATCTCAAAGTATGGTGCCTCTTTTTTATAAGATTTGACTATACCTTAATTAGTCTTAATTCATACGAACAAAGCTTGGGGATTAGGTTAGAGTACAACTATAGTTACTAACTCTGAATCATGTATAAATTAGGAAGTGTTTTAAAGGTGCACTATGTGACTTTTCTGGTACAAGTCCAGCACCTGGTTGTATTCACGGAGATATGCTAGGGTGATTGCTTTCCCTGGAATTTACCACAGTATAGTTATTATTTAATTATAGGCATTTTTTGTGATAAAACAATACTTTGACAAACTGTACCTGTAAATTAGTATGTTGCTTGCCTCAATAGAAATAGATAAGTTAAATATCATACTCTGAAAAATTCCAGGCAAAGCAACAACATCTTGGTAATGGACCCATGGAGTATTTACACAGTAGTCTTTATTCACATTGTAATGATCAGTTTCAGGCCTTTTATGATCTTTTCTGCAAATGTCATAAAAAAGTCCCAAATGTACTAGTTTTGCAGTGACTTCAAGTGAGCCCCGGTGGAGGAGCACATGGGCAGCGCATGGACACGTGCTAGAGCCTTATCACAATCGGGGCAGGTCGGTACCTGAGTGTGGAGGTACACTCATCCAGCACACATTACTGCGGTCACACAGTTAACAGCAAAGGCCTATGAGTAAGGCTCGAGCACTGCTGGCAACACTTTATGTTAGCTTTGTGAGATCCCCACAGTCTATAGGCTGCAGTGAATCACCACGCTACAATGTCCCGCTTTGCACGAAACTCCTTTATTTAATAACTTTACTCAGCTGCATTGATGGCTGTCACACTTTGAAGTTTTACCGCCCACGTCAGCTGGGATTTGCATAAAATGAATGACAGCAGAGAAAGAATTTCACAATAAGGTTTTGTAGCTCAAAAATTCATTGAACATCTTGAGTTTAGATTAGGCATCACAAGGCATCTTTTGCACAAGGCATCTTTACCATTGCAAAATAAGACCAGATCTTTGCAGCAACAAGACATATCACTAATTTATTGGAATTTAGATTTTAACTTACCATTTCAAAAAAACTCTAGTATTTTGTATGAAACTTGCCATCTATGTAATTTAGCAGTTCTAAGCAGTTTAGCAGTTTTAAGTCTTCTCTCAAATGTTAATGCACCTTGATTTGTTTGAAATGTGAACTTTAAACAGAATCCCATAATACAAATATTTCAAAATCTAATCCTTCAGCATTACTTTTTGTTTGTATATTTTTGTTCATTTGATCCAACTTTCTTTTACATTTCTAACAGCTATGTCCAAGTCTTGCAGTCTGGAGAACTCAGAAATCCATATCCTCTCGCCGACAAGGAGCGGCTTCGTTGTTAAAAAGGGAACAATTACCCAACGAAAGACAAACACACGACCTGATATTTTGAAAGGTGATTTACAGCGGAGCAAACACGCAGCAGCTCATTATGTTTAATTGTGCTCAGAAATTGACTGACGCGTGATGTCCCCCAAGAACTCCAACAAACAGGCCAAATTACACCCACTGCTCCCCCTCCCGCACAACACTCACTGCCTGCCTCTGTGCATTCCCCCGTCCTCCCAAGACTTGTCTGACATATGCTGGTTGCACATGAGCGACCATATGAGGGGCAGCGCCGGGAATCATGGGAAAGCAGACGGCCGGGGATGGGCGGGTGTGCGGCGTGACAGAAAACGATCTAGGGACCCGGAAAACCTCCAGGAACTGCATCCACGACAAGAGGGTACTATGGCATTGCTCAGTCCCACCCAATAGTGGCTTCTACTGGGGATTCTAATCAGATTTATGCGTGCTTAACTAACCTCATCGCCTCTCTGTGTTCACCCCGGACTCTCGGAGGAGCGGGGGGGCGGGCGAACAAAGGTACATAGCGGAACACGGCGTATGAGTGGGCTGAGAGGGGCCTATTAGCGAAAGGCGTGGTGATAAGTGAACTATAGAGGAGTAGATTCAGGCCTTCAGGAAGACAGTCGCCCTGAGCCCTGCCAGCGCTTATAGGAGCTGATTGGACGACGCCAAACACCACTTTTCGCTTTAGCGCAGAGGAAAGGAAGTGAGGGAGCGAGGGAGAGAGGGAGCAGAGCTAAAAAGGATTACGACATAGGGACGACATCATTCTAATATCAGTAATCAAAGCACAACAC